AGAGAACGAAAAGCGGAACTCCAGCGTTTTAACCGGGTTGGTGGACACAGAGAGTTCATCTAGGGGAGTTGGGCAACCCTGATTCCAAATCAATGGTGCACATAGGCTCCAGCATCCCGAGGGACCAAGTGGCGTATGAACCAACCGTTGGTCACCGGCTACCACGGGACTGCATCTCTTTACGATGCTAACTGCCTTGTGGGTCAGACCTTTCGGTCGAAGGTTTGGGGTGTGGCCCCCTAAAAAAACTACCTGAGATGACAATTATTTCACGAAATACTATGCTCACTTCAATTGGAATTTAGACATTTCACATTCACTTGATAACACTCATTTTTATTATTATTACTATTCTTCATATTCTACGGTGTGGCTCATATGTATCTGGTGTCCCCTTGTACCAATATTTATGTGTTCAAAATAAATAAATAAAGAGCCATTGGAAGCAAGAAATCTGACATAAGCAAAATAAACCATGAAGATGAAGGGATGCCAATCACTAACATCTATCGACGTCTTGGATGATGGGCAGTTCAACTGGTCTGCTGCCCCGGCAAAAGTGATCAGACTGTACTGCCCTCCATGGCCTGTGAACACTGGCCCACCAAACAAAGCGGAATTCCGCATGGAACTCCAACTCTTGAAACGCCACAAATCACTGGGCCTGTATGACTTACATCCGGCTCTTTTTAAAGATGGTGGCGACCTTCTGTATAAGGAACTGACTGTGTTGTTTACAAAGGCTTGGAAGTTAGAGAGTATTTCAACATCATGGAATGAGTCGATACTTGACCCTATCTTTAAAAAGGGTTCACATCGTTTCTATAATAACTGTCAGGGGATAGGTTTACTTCTGATTGCATCCAAACTGTTGGCTTCCGTTATACTTTGCAGGTTGTCTAAAACCTGAGAAAGATTGACACGCGAGGAGCAGGCTGGGTTTCGTTCTGGTCGAGGATGTATTGATCATATCTTCACCCTCCGCCAAATGTTAGAACACCGTCATACTTATCAAAGGTCAACAATCATAGTGTTTTTTGACATAACGGCTGCCTTCGATTTGTTGGACAGTACCGTTGTCTGGGATTGTCTATTGAAGGGTGTGCCTGAGAAGTTCATTAACATCTTAAAAGCCCTATATACAAACACCTCAGGCAGAGTGAGGGCATACAACCACCTTTCTCCATTGTTTCATGCAAGCAATAGGGTTAGGCAGGGTTGCCCAATCTCACCATTCCTCTTCAACTTTACTATCGATAACGTTCTGGAAACAGCTCTGATGGATGTAAGCAATGGCGATGTGAATCTATTGCTTTGAGAAAGACTTCTCGACCTTGAGTATGCAGATGATAGTCTTACTGTGCGATGACACTCAAGCCACGCAATCCGCACTTAATCGGTTAGCAATCAATGTCCGTAGGTATGGTATTTGCTTTGCACCTTCGAAGTGCAAAGTACTTCTACAAGACTAGCAGGACCTTGATCCTGCACTCATCCTGGATAGTGAGCAGATAGAAGTAATCTAAAAGTTCGTGTATCTAGGTAGCTGCGTAAGTGCTGGTGGTGGCGTGAGTGATGAGATCAATTCACGCATAATTAAAGCCAGAGAGGCTTGTGCCAATCTGGGCCAACTTTGGAGCCTTTGTGATGTTAGTCAGACTGTAAAAGGTCGGATGTACAACGCGTCGGTGAGAGTAATTTCGCTATGTGCATGTAAAACCTGGCCTCTTAGACGATTCTGTGTTTGATCGCCGTTGTCTCCAACAGGTACAGGTACAGGGGTCGCCAAATATATATGCGCCACACAAAACAATGATAATTTGATGAGAAGGAGGAAAAAGTAATGAACGTGGGGAATTATAAATAAAAAAAAAAGAGAGAGAACAATGATGGGGAAAACGGAAAGGTACAATCAGAAGAAATCTTTCAGTTAAGGAAGATACAACCACTTTTTATGAAGAAAGTAAAAGAAGGTTACAGCAGGATCGCCACTGGCTTCTATTCTGAGCCATATCTGATAACGTCTCTAGCCACTGCGTTACACCGTCTCTCGGACCCCAGCCAGGGAGTCGTGAAGGACCAACAAAAGCCAGCCCTTTGCAGCTTTCTTTCATACCACGACACCATGTCATACACTGACCACCTCTCCGCTTTTTCCAACCGGTCCCAGAGTAGGCAAATAATGTACGACGAGGAATTCTCTGGGACAACATTCGTAGAACATGTCCAAGCCACCGAAGTCGGTGTTTCAAGATGGTGACACCAATTAGATTATTGTCTCTGTGCCCGAATACACGATGCCGAACCTCCGCATTACTAACATGGTGTTGCCACTGGATGTCAGCAATCCTTCGGAGACAACGATGATCGAACACAGAGAGTCGTCTAACATCCTCAACTCGGACAGGCCAGGTTTCACAAGCATAGAGCAGAACTGCTCTCACTGACGCTTTGTAGATCCGACCTTTTACAGCCAGACTAACATTATGAAGGCGCCAAAGATGGCCCAGATTGGCATAAGCCGCTCTGGCTTTCAATATACATGGAGTGGTTTAATCACTCATGATACAATCAGCACTTATGCAGCTACCTAGATACACGAACTTCTCAACGACTCCTATCTGCTCACCATCCAGAGTGAGTACAGGATTAGTATCCTGTCAGAATTGTAGAAGTACTTTGCACTTCGAAGGTGCAAAGCACATACCATACCTACGGACACTGATTGCCAACTGATTAAGTGCGGATTGCATGGCTTGGGCATTATCGCACAGTAAGACAATATCATCCGCATACTCAGTGTCGAGAAGTCTTTCTCCAGGCAACAGATCCACACCACCATTACTTACACTCATCAGAGCTGTTTTCAGAATGTCATCGATGGTAAAGTTGAAGAGGAATGGTGAGATTGGGCAACTCTGCCTAACTCCACTGCTTGAATGGAATAGTGGAGAAAAGTGGTTGTATGCTCTCACTCTGCCTGAGGTGTTTGTGAATAGGGCTTTTAGGATGTTAATAAACTTCTCAGGCACACCCTTCTTCAATAGACAATCCCAGAGAACAGTTCTGTCCAACGAATCGAAGGCAGCCCTGATATCAAGAAACACTACGATTGTTGGCGGTGTTCTAACACTTGGCGGAGGGTGAAGATATGATCAATACATCCTCGACCAGAACGAAACCCAGCCTGCTCCTCGCGAGTCAATCCTTCTCGGGTTCTGAACAACCTACGAAGTATGACGGAAGCCAATAGCTTGGACGCAATCGGAAGTAGACTTATCCCCCGATAGTTGTTACAGGAACAACGTGAACCCTTTTTAAAGATAGGGACAACTATCGACTCATTCCATGACGTTGGTACACACTCTAGTTGCCAGACCTTTGTAAACAACGTCGTCAGTCCCCTAGTCAGAAAGTCACCACCATCTTTAAAAAGAGCCGGAGGTAAGTCGTCTGGGCCCGGTGATTTGTAACGTTTCAGGAGTTGGAGTTCCTTGCGGACTTCCGCCTCATTTGGTGGATCAGTCGTCACCGGCCATGGAGGGCAGGACAGTCTGACCGATGTTTCCGGAGCAGCAGGCCAGTTGAACTGCCCTTCAAAAAATTCTGCCCATCGTCCAAGACGTCGATGGATGTTAGTGATTGGCGTTCCGTCATCCTCGCAGATTGTTTCGCTCACACCAGACTTCTTGCTGCCAGTGGCTCGGATGAGTTGGAAGAGCTTCCGGTAATTACCAGATGCAGCTGCTGCTTCCAGCTCATTAGCACGCTCCGACCACCAGGCTTCACGGTCCTTACGCAAGCTTTGCCCGATTTCATTACGTAACATCCTTCGTCTGTGGTCAAACTCACGGTCACCCGGAGTAGACCGACGGGCTTCAATCAGTTGTAAGGAACCAGAAGAAACCCAGTGCTTGCGTGCTTGGATTTTAATGTAATTTCGTCTCGTTCTACCAGAAGATATACGAGAAACATATGAGTGAAGGGGATGGTTTGTATCTGATAAAATAACACCTGCCAGGAGTTTGCATGACTTTAGATGTCTATCCATAACCTTGTTAATTATGGTCTCGAAAGATTCACCACATACCTTGCTAACTGCCTTCAGCACTCTCCGCAGTACAGCAAAGTCTTTTCTCAAAAGCCCGGGAAAGAATAATGGAGAACAGTAAAGAATAATAGGTAATATGCAAGAATTGACAAATTGTAGGAGTAAATGACGAGTGATCCCAAAAGCATACAATCTCTTATTATTTCAATATCATACACTAATTTCTGTTCGTTATTGTTCCCCTCTTTCTTAATACACACCTTTCATTCTCTATCTCTTCATACTCTCATTATTATTGTGTGATGCAAATGTATCTGGTGCCCCTTTGTACCAATATTTATGTGTTCAAATAAATAAACCAACCATTATAAATAAAAAAGCTGAGTCCAGGAGACTAATTTGTGCTTCTGACTAAGTGAATCTCTGCTGATAATAACAGAATAAAAAATAGATCTAATAATTTAGAACGGTGAAATGGTCCCGGTGAAGTTGACCAATTGAGCAAAACGATATTGCATTAGCAGTCTGTCCCCACTAAATCAATTTTAAATTCTACTACACCTAATGTTCTGAATTACTGTTTGATGAACATGTCAAATATGTAGTTAAGTAGTTCACGATTTTGAAATCGTTCGCTATAAAACGCAGTCATTTACAGATGGCATTTCGAAGCTGTTTTAAATCAATGAGGTATTTAGGACATGTATGAAATATTAAAAGAAATGTAGATGTTAAAGTAACAAGTATCTTTCACTTCACATACACAGAATTTCTGTATGCCATCAGGTGATACTAGCTAAAGTGAGGAAATAAAATCCTCAGAAGAATCACCCGAAAATGTTTACAGCAAACCAGTCCTATATAACCCGACATCACTATGCGTTCAACTTCCTTAACTTTACATTTCAACAAGGTAAAAAGGAATGGATTAATCAAAAAACAAAATTTTGCAGGACAAGCATTTTCATTTTATCGTTATGAATATATAAAAAAAATAATATGTACAAATGTAATGTTTCATTTTGTCGCCATCTAAACAAAATAAGATTGATGGAAAAATGGTCGCTTACTCTGAACTGCTCTTCTATATTCGAGATCTCACTTATAAGATCTTTCAGAGCAGAAACGAAAACATCTACAGGTGTCGCTGGATGAGCTGTATGTACTCGAATGACAATTTTGTGCTCTAATGGATGAGGAGCTTTGTATCCTGCAAATAATACTCTTGGATCTTTTAGTAACTGGCTAAATTAGGAAAACAAAAAAGGACAAGTAAGTTTGAAAGAATACTTAATTCGAGAAAAAAATAATTCCGGAATATCCACCGTAACTAGTGGGAGACAATAGAAACTAAGGAGTAGAAAAGAGACGTTTTGTTATGGGCAGTGACACTAGCATCTCAATAGAAAAAACAGAGCGATAGGTAGGATGATGGCAGTTACATTATTTTTAGCAGCAAAGTAAAAGTCAAGCGTTAAATGGTAAAATGAATAAGATGAAAACCAAAAGTGGTTAAAGAAAAGACAGTGGGTAGGGAAGTGCCTGAAATTTATGAAAGAATAAGACTAATGTGCGCACATACAAGTAATTAATTTTGTGCATGATCGACTAAAGCCTTTTACCTTCCTTATATCAAACCTATCCCTTTCAGCTTGGATAATTCAGTCTAATTTTAGTTCTAATCTAGTCACTCAACAGTTGTATGGCATTATGTTTACTCGTGATCTTTGTATGAATTCTGGATGGTTTTACACTTTAAATAACTTGTGCCATAATAGAATAAGAAAATCAATCAGATGCCTCATACAAATCCTATAAAACCCGCTAACTTTATTCTGAACTGCACTGGCATTTGTCAGTTTATCTTGGCTCTTCAGTCGTAGTCCTAAAGACCGTGGCACTTGAGACGTAGTCAGATATGGTTTTACACAGAAGTTGGCGGAGATTCTACTATAATTTCCATCACCGTCCTTATAACAGCTCAAAGTTAACAGTTATTTTGAAGGTGTAGTCGGACTGTACTAGCTTGATGATAACTCTATAGGAACTTCCAACTTGTTTGCTTACACATAAAGTGAAATGGATCTTCAGCCTATCAACTATCATCAGTAATTACTTCCCCGAAATATGTTCTTTTACTCGATTGAACAAGAATCTAATAACTAGTGGTTCATAAAACCGAGTAAAAAATGTCATACTGTCTGGATTTAAGGATAGTACGAAATGGTGAATTATATATAGTACTATATACAGAGAAAGATATGTCAAAAAACACCGCATAACGTAAATTAGTTTAAGTTGTCAAGCTTCTTAACGCAAAGAGTAGACAGGAAGATATTAAAATGAACAAACAGGGAAGAACTACATTGACGGTTTACACTCTACGACACACTTAACACCAATGGTTAGTGACCTTATTTAGTGGTAGCATGTTTTGGCGTGGTGACCGTAGACATATTTGATACAAGTCAGAAACCAAATCAATGAAATAACCTATCTCTTCTGCGATTGTATAACGTAGATGATAATCTTCATAAAACATACCTTCACACAAAAGTAATCTTGTTGAAACTCAGTAATCAAATGCGAAATCACATGCTCTAATCTACACTACACTCGGTACGATGAATAATAAGTATATCTGGATGCCAGAACGGGGCTAAGCAGAACGAAGTGTGATCATACAATTCAGTAGCCGGGAGTTGGTCGACCTAATAACTGACCCACTAAAATTAGCTGTATGTCTAGCGAAAGTAATTATTTTTACGAACCACTTGCCCCCAAATGCCCTGGTATGGCCGAGATTGGGGTGGACCCACCCTCCCTCTCGAAATGCTCGCACACGGCCACGCGTATACAACCTCTGCCAGGGAAGTCCTACTCACTGCCTTCTCGTGGCGAATGTCCGGCGCTTTAACCGGATCCCAAATCAATGGTGCGTATGAGCTCCAGTATCCTAAAGGAACAAATGGCGTATAAACCAATCGTTGGTCACCGGCTACCATGGGACTGCATCTCCTCACGATGCTCCACTGCCTTGTGCGTTAGACCTTTAGGTCGAAGGCTCGGGGTGTGGCCGCCTAAGAATAAATAAACATATCTTAAAAACGTCATGAGTGTAGAAACGAAATAACCACGAAATTATTTGGATCGGATAATTGGTACTTCACAGTCCATACCACCAAAGTTTACTTTAATATGTATTTACTACCGATGCTTGGAATTTTATGAATACTAACATGACTAGGTAGCTATCTCTACATACCACACTTGACCGTATTCCTGAAAATAAAGTTCAGCTAACTGCATCGAGAACGCTAACTAGATCGAATAATCAGTGAACTTCCTGCAACACATAGCAGTCATTTTAAAGAGCATATATGTACTCAATATAATATTAAAAACACACCATGTTATCATATTTCCAACAGTGTGATCCTCTCGATTTAGGGTAAAAATGGCAGCATTTGGAACCTGAGTATCCTTTTCGAAGGAGATCCTACAAGTGTAATAATCAGTGTCAAAGACCCACTTCTTCTCACCATCGGCAAGCAGGAATGGTTCGAACGAAGCAGGAGCATTCATAGGGCAACGCTTCAGGGGTTCGTCCACCGATGGAAGTTGCGAGCACTTGAAGGTCAAACTGTAGCAAGATGATTGGTGCGTCACATAGACAATTCGTGAAGTTTCTCAGAGGCGGTCAAATCAATACATCTTTAGATTTGAGTTCACCACACCATGTCTGATCACGTCCATCCTTCAAGTAACGAAGATGATGCCGTCGTGATGATGCATGATATAGGACGAATCTTCAATGATATTATGTCATCTCGGAGATTTACAAGTTGGGACAATTTTGAGACCTGTTTGAAAGAAGTACATTAGGTAATATGACTTCTGTGATTAATGATTATTTTCGTAGTATACGCATACTAAGTACGTTATGTCAATATAAAAAAAGAACAATGAGTACCCAACTCTGAAGTATTTTTTTTCTTTCACCGCGCTCGTTTCAAAAAGGGGAGTGATTTTTGTACTGGTTGTGATTAGCATTGCCTTATGTACTAGTTGCAACATAAAGCATTCTTGGTCTACTTTAACTAAAAGTACTTCGGTTAAGGTTTGAAAGTTTCTCTAAACTTTGTCATGTGGTACCTTTCTTGCTTACTCATTGACTGACACTCGTGTTCATATTGTGATCATAGTGTGTTTTAGACGTTTTAAATCAAATTACAATGGTTAGTAGGACTTATAAATGTGGACAACCAAACTGCTTGTTTCCCGTTGAGGAAGGAATGCAGTGGGAAGAATGTAAAAAGTGGTACCATAAAATATGTACACGTCTAAGTCCTACGGCATACAAAAGATGCTCGAAGCCTAACTCGCATTGGCTTTGTATGTTTTGCTGTACAAACAAAAAGTTACTAGTCCAGAAGGCTATGAGTCTATTGGCTTTGGCCTGTAAGTGAAACGATGGCGGTTGTCCTGACACCACGAGCACTGACAGTGAAGAATGTGTCGGTGTAGTAATTGCTACTACCGGACCCGTTAAACACCCGATTGTGATTGATGGGAAGGAAAAATCACCCTTAACATTAACGAGGAGTTAAGTGCCACTTGATATAGACATTGGAAATCATACGCCTGTGGTAGAAATTGAAGACTCGGATAAAACTGTCATCGTTCCAAATAGTCCCAGTGTGGCTGTCCTGAGTGAGGATAAATGGACTTCAGCACGGAGAAAAAGATATGAGAAGAAAAAAGCTGTAGGCAAACCGCAGATGGTTAGAAAGTCATTGGAAGAGACGGTATCAGAAACAAAAATTCCACTGCGTGTCAAGACAGATCTCTGTGAGAGGTCAGTCATTTTCCATATGTTAAGAGGACCTTCTGATAAGGAACCAAAGGCTATGTTTGAACACGACTTCAGTCACATTAAGTCCTTGATAAACAAACTACTCCAAGATACAGTTTCAGGAGTTAGCATTTGTAAGCTTTATAGAATAGGACGAAAGGTGGATTCCAAAAGCCCTCAGAAAAACCGCCTCTTGAAAGTTACATTTGCCACGGTTGAAGAAAGGAACCTGATTCTAGGTAACCCACGTAAACTGATTGGATCCGGGATGTATGTCCGTGAGGATCTCAGCCTAGATGATCATATTAAGAGACGAGCTTCAGAAGTGGAAATAAATGAGCGTCGCCGAAACGGCGAAAGAAACCTCGTTCTTAAGGGTTTTCAAATTGTAAAAGTTCGGAGCAAAACGAACCCAAAGCACTCTGGATGGTAAGGGAAAGTTCTCCACAGACTTAAAGGTATGCTACACAAATGCTCGCAGCCTACTAAATAAAATGGTGGAGCTTAATGCAATGGTGGATAAAGAAAAACCGGATGTTAGTGCTGTCTCAGAAACTTGGTTAACGTCGGAAGTATTAGATAATGAAATTCACTTGACTAGTTTTTTATCCAATAGGGCTGGTAGATTAAATCGTAGGGGAAGCGAGGTTATCGCTCTCGCTCTCTTTAATGTAATTAGGGGAATTATGAGTATGAAACGTCTAAATCGGTTTTTTACATAAATTCCAATATTTCCTCACTTGATATTAGTTTGTCATGAAGATCGACTTCACGAAAATAATAATGATGGCAAAATATCGTGAATTGAATAAAGTTAGGCATTAGTGTCATCAAATCTCGGCTCAGTTGTCTAGAGTTTAAACTTCAGTGTCCGAAACCAAAAGTCCTGTATACTATTCTCAGACATGGAGTTATAAATGTGAACTATTGAAGTGTTTCATACTATTATGGTCTAACGTCTATTAAAATAATAAAAACCATTTCACCTTGCCCAGTATGCATTAGGTTTTATTTATACCCATTATAATCTCATATTATAGAGTAAATAATTTTAGAAAATGACAAACTCTACCAGTCTGACAAGCAAAAAACCAACCAGTATTTACGTTGCCTAAATATCGTTATGTACCATCTTTAGCTACGATTTATGATGATGGATCATAAATACATGTTGAATTTTAATGGAGTCTGTAGTGACCCACTTTTGTCAACAGAACGCGATTGGTTCGATGAAAACAATTATTATAACTAATTGTACCAGTGATTGTTTTACTGTGTTCGTTTGTTTAACTGTGCTAATGACAGCCATTATACCCTCTCTCCCGTTGACTTTGAACTTGTACGAATTCGGTTACGCTTAGTAACCACGCTTGTACTCCTTTGGCACGATCTCGGTATTCTTTCGATACCACGAGATCGCCAGCAAATACATCTCGACTACAGCCATCATCAGCCTTCTGATATTAGCCTACGGGGATCTTATTGGTTAACTGGCACGTAGTCTTCTTGTAGTGATGTTCATAGTCAAGCGCGAATCGACTCTACGCTACAAGTCTATGGATCATGTTCTGTTTACAGATGCCACATAAGGTTCAGAGAATTTGGCAAAAATTCACATGAATTAGTGTAGTTTACGTAGATATGGATATAGTAATTGGAAAGATAGGGGTTAGTAGTAGTGTATCAGATCAAGAACGTCAAGCTGCAGTGAAAGTATAAGTAAAGAGTGGTTTCGTAATTGCGATTTCATAAATAGATAAGTAAAGAACAATAAAAAGTTATTCTCAAATAACAGTTTGTAACATTTGACCCTCAGGATGCACGTTTCTTTCTATTTGGGACCCGTCAGCTAGATGTGCCTGCATTCCTGAATTGATGTTCACTTGGGGCTCGGACCAAGTTCGAACCCTATCGCTTCGAACGCCATAGCGTTATCCGCTTAGCTACTGAGTGCAGACAGCCACCAGCTTGTGTAATTGACTCAAGATTTGTTTAACTTTTGTACCTTTCGTCTGAAAATTTTCATTGGTGTTTACGACTGTGATCGATCAGCTTCAGAGTTCTAGGGTGGACATAAACCCTGTGACGCAGGTATATCCACCTGATGAGTCAAAAATAAGGCGAAACGCGCGTCGTGGGTTTCACTGTTAGCCACCACAATCACTCCTCACAATGCTTGTTACTTAAGGCAATATTGAGGCAGTCCACACAGGGTGCACATATGTAAATAAGAGACTGATTAATTTTAGCCCCAAGTTTCGATGAGAAGATTCAAACGACCGGTACGAAAATGTATCAAATCGTCTGATATTCTAACTCATAGCGTTCTGTTTTTGATCAACCTGAATTATTATCATTTAGGACATGTTATATCTGCTTGTCTACTGAAAAATGTATTCTCTACAATACGTTCACACAAATTAAACCAATAATACCTTGGTCACCTAATATCAATGTCACTATAGTGTGATTGAAGAGATCTATATATTGCTTGGTTGGTACCTCCACAGTTAGCAAGATTATTACACCTAGCATCATACCTATTTGACACATGCGACTTATGTACAGAAATTACAAAAAATTACCATAGGAAATCGGAGGACTGAGAAATGAAAAAAATTATTTTGTTCAGAAAAATCAAATCAATTACTCTCAAGTTATTACGGACAGTTGATATATCCTATTACAGCACAGATGTACTACTCTTTATCGTACCCAACATATATACTTTGCAAATGTCAAGCTCTAGTTGTTATAGGGGAATATGTGTATAATATACAGATATATAATAACACTTCTGGAGAATACACTTGGGCTGGATAGAGAGCAATGTACTCAATGCAAAAAACAATAAGCTACGTAGAGTTACCACGCCTACATGGCCGAACTGCGCCATTTCGAATGATTATTTCCGTGTTCACCATTCATGACCTCCCCCAATTGTTACATGTTAAATGTCAACCTTCCCAGTAGCTATATGTTCATCCTAGAGAATCATGCGGTTAGGAACTAATACCATTACAATGTACTTAAGTTTTTCAGTCTTTCCCACCACACTCAATCTTGACTTTTTATGGTCAATGTTCGACTTTTGGTCCAAAATTATTCCACGATTTTTTTATCCCTGAATAGAGGTTACATTTTGCCTGTGAACGGTAGATAATGGAGGACGCTTGTTAGTTGACACACAACTTTTGTTGACTTTCCTCAATGGAGGCATGAACTCCCGATAATGACAAGTAGCTTTCACCTGATATAACTTACTCGAAATTAAACGGCTAATCGATAGTTACTATCTCGCTTGATAACCACACACCTTATCTCAAATTTCTCTTCTACAAACACTGTCACCGATCCGACTACACATCCAGTATACCCTTAACAAGATCTGCACACCATAGTCTAACATTTAGTCAGACGAGCAGTTTGCGCAATCAGTTTGCAATAGTGTTATGTAATTTTCTCCGAAACGAATATCACCAATGTTTCCTAAGCCAACCAGTAGGTCAAAATCCATGCTTCGTGTGTCTGACAAAAAATACAGGATAGCGCAAATGTTGGAAGTCATAACAACTTTTCACGCAAATGAGCTATTTCTCGACCATTTCTTATGCAACACGCAAAATACAGGTGCCATCTTACTATCTTCTCTATTGGTTATATCTTACCCATGGGAGTCAAATTTTGAGGGACATTCATAATTTTATACATCTTTCGTAGACTTTTCATACTGAATGATAAGAGTATGACATCCTGAAAGGGAAAGGAATACAATGG